TGTATGTGACAAATACCTTGAGACCTACAAATCTCAGTATTCTTGAGATTCTATAAATCTCACTTACCCTGGTGAAGTAAGAACTGGTATGATGGCAATTAGGCAGAGAAGTGACTTCAATGTCTCTGTACTCTCCTCCTCCATCATATCTCATTCTCTGCCCCCGCCCCACCCTGGGAGAGGTCGCAGGGAAGCAGCAGAGCCTCCACTTCCCTGGAGCACAGTCAGCCAGCTACATCAGATCAACAGGAGATCATGACCCACCAAGACTCGGCAGAGGATTCTGTTCTGTCTGCTCTTAGGACTTAGATGTAGCTTCATTTTATTCCTTTAAGCTAATTAGGGCAAAAGAATTGCTAAAGTCAGTTCTGAAAGACACTCAACGGTGAGGCCTTGAAGGCCCTGGGCCTGACAATTGGCTGCCTCCATGAGACCTAGGAGTACAGATGGAAGGCAGCTTGCTCAGGTGCCAGCCTGTCAGTTGGATTAAAATGACTCATTTATTTACCCAAGAACCTCACAAAGTGCTTTTACTAACAGGGAGAGGGGGCCTGCCGTCTCTCTGAGAAGGGACGCAGCACACTCGCCTCTGACGCCTTCCCGGCCTGCCAAAAGTCATTATTGCCGTGTGTGGAAAGCCATCAGCAGGGTCCAGGCCCCCGTTGTCCGGGTGACAGATTGGGCTGCGTAATCAGAGGAGGAAGGAGAGAGTGCAGAAGCTGTCAGAGGCGAGAGATCTTGGCTGGAGCCGCCAAAAAACTGGCAACATGAGTTAGCGTAACTGAGTAAACAGCAAACAATCTCCAAATGATCTTTCCGTTAACACAAACAAAATAAAATGAAAAAGATAAACTTTACCTAAAAAGCATACCCCAGAGAAAAGCACGAAAGTCTACATTTATTTGGGGCACAGAACTGACATTCTGTGACTCTCAGAGCCTTATCTCCTTTGTCTCCTAGCCTCCTGGCATGGTGGAAATTTCCCAGGAGGAGAGGAAATTAAGAACTGCACAGACAGAACAGTATGCTTCAAGCGGAAAAAAAATACTGAGAAGGTGGAGGAAAGCAGCACAGGTGATCTAGGTGCATCTTCCGAAAAAGAAATGCGTGCGCTGGACAGCCAAGGAGGACGCCGAGGGACAGTCGGCACCCAGCAGGGGCTGCGGGTAGCTTCTTTCTGGGAAAAAGGTGACTGCACTCCATCCAGGGACAACCAAGGAGAGCCACCAGGAGACCAACAGAAAACCTAGTACCAGCCTGAAAATCAGGTGGCTCGGAAACTCCATTTTCCGGCCAGTCAGTGGTACTTCTGTTTATCAACTCATCAGCATAATGATGGTATTAAAAACCAGGTTCCTTTCCCCTGGCTTAGTGTGAGCTCTTCACTATAAGCAGGAGGAAATAATACTTTGCACATAATCCAGTGTCTGATATCTGATCCCTTTGGTTGCTTAATTCCACTTGGGAAAGTGGGCTTTGAACTTCCAACGCCTCGTTTCTGCTCATCCCTACTTCCTACTTACCTTGGCTTTTTCTTAGATCTAGTTTTCCAGAAGACACAAAATTACATTGTGAATGTGTGAGGATTCCTCGTCTTTCACAAACTGATTTCTTTTGCCCCCAACTAAGCTTTGCCTAGACTCCATCTTACCATAGTCACACCTTTACTCAACAGCCACAGTACACAAAGCCACGTATCAGGGCTTGAGAGCTGCATGATAATTAAAAAGGTCCCTGCTTTTGAGATGTTTATAATTAAAATGAAATAAAACACACACACGCACCCTTAACAGTTCCTAGCAGGAAGGAAAATGAGGTGGGGGACTTTGTAACAGTAAAGGAAATAGCATAATTGTGAGCTTTTGTGTGGGCACATCACTATTTCCAAATTTTCATAAAGACATTCATTCTGGCCTTGTTAAAAGGATCTCGGGATGATAAATTAAAATGGCAAAAGGCACAGTATAAAGGGGGGAAAATCCCCACGTAACGATTAACAACACGATTCCTCTTTATCAAAAGAAGCCAGTTCTCCATCTGTCTCGTCCTGAAGTGGCCCTCGTTCCTCATTAACACCAAGGAGGCTCCTGGAGAGCGTTCAGATAGCCTGGCAAGCAACAGGCTGCTTAAAAGGATGCAGAGTGGCAGCATCTCCCCCAACCCAGGCATGATCTATTACAGTGTGTGCGTCCCACTCTCCCCAAAGCTCTCATATGCCAGAAGCGTCAGCTAGAGCAAACAAGCATGGCAGAAGAGGCAGGAACACCAAGAGAAGCGAAGGACTTCCCATGACTGGGAACCTGCGCTCCTGCTCTGGCCCAGCAACCGAGAGAAACGAACCCCACGCAGCTCTTCTCCAGTCATCTTCACTACACAGCAAAGAGAGCTCCCAAAAGATCAGCAAACTGAAGTGACCTGGACTAGGAAATGAACAAAGACTGAGGGCTTTAGACAAATCAGGCTGTGGGCGAGGGAGTTTTCTTTACATGTGGCATCCGGGACTGGCAGGGCGCAGAGGGCTGGGAGGTACTGTGCTTTGCCAAGACAATGGCATTCTTTGTCTAGCTGATACCATGTGCCTGCAGGTATCATCCGATAGACAGAACAAGGAAAGTGATCGTATGCTTTTGACCTCACGAAGAATTATATTAACTATTTCAGAAAGAATAATCTTCTCTTCCATGCAGAGCTACTAAAAATACAAACAGCGGAACTTCAGATACCTGGAGTTTTCTTTAAGGCTTACAGCTCACCTGTGTCTGTAAAGCGTTTGCATACTGGGAGGCTCAACAATTTCCGAGGGATAAATCCGGCATGTTATGGGTCAAAGATAAAATATTCTGTTCCTATCATAACCTGAACTCCACCCCAAAGGTTCCTACTGCTTTCTATTTTGACAGTCCAGAACATTCACTTCTTAGGTAACACCAGAGGAATGAAAAACCCATTCCCAGTGAGCAAGTCTATTAATGTCTGTCTTTAGAAAAACACACACACTGGTAGCCCTCAACATCGAGTTTCTTGGGCCCCATCTATTGCCCCCAATTCGATCTACAAAACCAAGCACCTACTGTGTGCCTGCTCTGTGCTAGACACTGGGATAGAAATGCAAACAAATCACAGTCCTTGTCTTCACGATGCTTACGACTGGCTGGGAAGGTACCTAGACCAGGCGGGATAAGCATTACGGTGAAGAAATGAAGGGTGCACTGGGATGGCCTCGTGGGGAAGAACAGGGGGCTCCTGAGTTTCATTTCTCTGAAGGCATAAAATTTAAGGGGACACCTAAGGATGGTTTAGTCAAAATCATGGTAGTGTTCCAGGCAGAGGGACTAGCATGAACCAAGGCTCCAAGGCCAGAAAAAGCCAGATGATACATTCGAGGACTGAAAGAGGGGGCTGTTTGGCTGAGGGGTAGGGAACAAGGGGGAGTAGGGTGAAAAGAGACAAACAGGGGTCAGGTTCCACAAAGTATTGTTAGATATAATAAGGACTGTTGACAAGTTTTTCTTTTGAGACAAGGTCTCACTCTGTTGCTCAGGCTGGAATGCAGTGGTGCAATCATAGCTCACTGTAGCCTCGACCTTCTAGGCTCAAGTGATCCTCCCGCCTCAGCCTCCTGAGTAGCTGGAACTACGGGCATGTGTCACCACGCCTGGCTAATTTTTAGTCCTTCATTTTTTTTGTAGAGACGGGGTCTTGCAATATTGTTGCTCAGGCTGGTCGTGAACTCCTGGGCTCAAGCGATCCTCCCACCTCGGCCTCCCAAAGTGGTGGGCTTGTAGGCGTGAATCACCGCACCTGGCCCAACAAATTTCTTTAAGTAGATTATTTAGAATTTATCTTCACTATAGGCCATGCATAAAGCTGGCTTTAGAACAAGCTTGAACATCTGACTTGTGGATGGGCCTCATAAAGGGAAGGACTTGGTCAGACACAGATCTCCTCAGGAGGCAAGCATTCCACGGTGACAGCTCTCAGGCCTGAATGAGTGTCAGCAGAGCCACTGTTTGCCTCGCACACATGAGAACCAACACTGTGATAAGCAGGTTACCAACAAGCCCCCTCTTGCAGGTGAGCACACATATATATACACGCAAGAAACCATGCTGCACTCATACAGAAACTCAACACTTAGAAAAGTCTCCATTGCCTTTAATAGTGAATATGGAATACAAGTTCCTTAAAAAGTAATTGCATCAAATGTGGCCTAGATGGGCATTCAAACAGCTTAGTATCTTTGTTTCTACCCAGCACTTGTTCACTGGATTGACTAAATTTATAGTACAATTTCATTACTGTATATATAGGAACTTCTCCATTAATCAGCTGGGGATTAAGTTACATCATCCAAGATGGAACAGAGAAGGCATTTTAATCTTTGGAGATAGCAACAACTACGGTAAAGTGAATCCCCGGGCGGTGGGGACAGAACACTGAAGGTGTGAGTTTTTAATCTCGAAAGAGCACAAGAGGCATGAGTTTAAAAGGTCAGTGTTGTGCTGGAGGAGGCAGCTATCCAAGACTGCAGAGACTGAGGCTGAGGGAGCTGGCCCTGAAATCACAGGGCAAATGACAGTCAGAGACAACAACAACAAATAAAATTGGCCCAAATGCACCAATTTTCCTTTAAGAAAAGGTGAGCAGAGGCAAGCAGAGTCATTTTGTTGTGGAAAGACTTTCTCAGCTCTAATTACTCCCGATAGCTGTAATTTACAAGTTTTGGGTGGATAGAAATCTCCAAGATTCACACATTTTCAGACCAACAGCTGCCACTATTAGTGAGCAAATTGCCAAGTCTTCTGCACGGTGGTGGCTGGCTATCTGTGGCCCCGTCAGGTAACAAGAAAGAAGTGCAAAGAGGCCAACCCCACCAAGGGGCCCCTAGTGTTCCTGGGCCCTGTAGGACTGACCACAGGACAAACTGTCAAGAGACAAAAAATTGCACAGCCATCACAGAAATGTATCAGCCTTCGCATGGAAGACAGGACGATACGTACCGTGCAAAGAAGGACGCCTCTCCTGGAATGGGAAAATTCCTGAAACACTGCTGTTCTTTCCTACAAAAACAAGGAAAAATAGAGCTTTACAACTCAGAGACAAACTCCAGCAAGGTAGGCTTAGATCTCCCTAGCTCGCTCCATCTCCTACTGCTAGAGCTATTTTCAGGCACAGAGAGGCTTGCCAGGAAAGAAGAAAAAGTGGATTCTTTATATCTCCTAAGATGACCCTGTACTTACAGGACCAGACTTGAGGCTACGGTGAAGTAGCAGGGGTTTTGAGGGTGCATATTTCTGGGAGACAGTACCAGGGGAGGCACACCCTCCAGGAATGGCCAAAAACAAGAACAGGAAGGTGCAAGCTCCTGCGTGCAGGGTTCCAAACCTGTGTGCAATGTATTCTAAACATTCTCCTACAAGTGCTCTGAAGGAATAAAGAATCACCAACCTTCTCTACAGGCAGTTTTAAAAAAGATTAGATACGGCCGGGCGTGGTGGCTCAAGCCTGTAATCCCAGCACTTTGGGAGGCCGAGGCGGGCGGATCATGAGGTCTGGAGGTCGAGACCATCCTAGCTAACATGGTGAAACCCCGTCTCTACTAAAAATACAAAAAAAAAAAAAATTAGCCGGGTGTGGTGGCGGGTGCCTGTGGTCCCAGCTACTCGGGAGGCTGAGGCAGGAGAATGGCGTGAACCCGGGGGGTGGAGCTTGCAGTGAGCCGAGATTGCGCCACAGCACTCCAACCTGGGCCACAGAGCGAGGCTCCATCTCAAAAAAAAAAAAAATTAGATATTTATAAAACTATGTATTTTAATTGGAGAGAAAATATATTTGCATTAAAGGAAGAAAATAAAATACCACTCAAGGCAAACCACCACTACCACTGGGAATACTTTGATGTTTCCCAAGTTCCCCTTTTATGCATCACATAACCAAATATGTAGCTTTCCAAAAACATGGCACCCTACTATTTATACTATTAACATGCTCTTAGATAGCAACAGAATATGAACATCTCTTCATGCCAATAAGTATCCAAAGACCAGGTCATCTGTTGTGGTGAAACAGTACTCAACTAAATGGATGCGCCATTATTTATTTGACCAATGTTGTATGCAGTGAAGGTTGTTTCTGATTTTTTTTTTTTTTTTTTGAGACAGGGTCTCATTTTGTCACCCAGACTCACTGCACAATCTCAGTTCACTATAACCTCCACCTCCTGGGTTCAAGTGATCCTCCCACTTTGGCCTCCTGAGTAGCTGGGACTACAGGCATGCACCACGATGCCTGGCTAATTTTTGTATTTTCTGTTAGAGACGAGGTTTTGCCATGCTGCCCAGGCTGGTCGTGAACTCGAGCTCAAGCAACTCACCAGCCTCAGCCTCCCAAAGTGCTAGAATTACAGGCGTGAGCCACCGCGCCCTGCTGATTTTGTAATATTGCAATCAATGCTGTGACAAACATCTCTGTAAATAAGTCACTGTGTAGATTCTTAATTACTCTCTTAGGTTAAATTCCTAGAAACAGACTTGCTGGACCAAAAGGTGAGCATCCTAGAACGCTTTCAGTATGAGCCTGCAACGGTGCCTTCTGAACGCTCTTCAGTCATGATGCTCTATGCACTTGAGTTGGTCACATTCACCCGTCAGCAGCAAATACAAAGAAATAGAACCAAACTACCCAAAATCTGGGAAAAAGTAAAGTCTCTGTTGCTGTGGCATGTCTTTCTGGGCTTTCATGTGCGTAGATTTTCTCCATGGCTGGAAGCCCAGGGCACACCTCACTGAGTACACTGGATAAAGACATACAAACAACAAACATTCATTGAGTGCCCACCACATACCAGACACTGGCTTAAGCACCTCACACGTCTGAACTTCGCTAATCCTCACAACCACCCTATGTGTAGGTATTATCATCACCCCATTTTCCAGAAGAAAAAAACTGAGGCACAGACAGGTTAAGGAACTTGCCCAAAGGACACACACACATGGTAAAGGGCCGGAATGATATCCGAACCTGGGAACTGTGCTCCTGAGTCAGTGCTCAGACCCTCAAAAGGACAGATCCATTTGTCCAGTCTGCTGCACGGTCTTTATAAATGATCATTTTTGACGGCTGTATCTTAGAATCAGAATCAGAAAAAATCAAAAAGTTCATAAAAGCTTACGAAACACCTTAAAGACTAGTTATGATGTATTCAGATTTGAGGTAAGAGAAAAAAAACCTACCAAACTCTGGGACTTTCATCACAACTACCATGCAAATAGTAACTTCTATGCAATGCTCAGAAACTTACTTAGAATCATGTCAGTCATCATCACAACTACCCTGCAAAGAGTAACTTCTATCCAATGCTCAGAAACTTATTTAGAATCATGTCAACCATCTAAGGAGACCATGTTAAGGCCTTGTAGGATAGTGGCCAGGGTAATAAGTCAGGAAAACTTAAGTGGGACAGTTTCAGCTTAGTCTGGAACAAGAAACTTACCCCTAATACTTAGAAAATAAAACACAGGGATACTATAACCTCCTGTCTTCCACTGCAAAAGCTAAATACTACACAGACATTCTCCTTTTTAAACTACAAAAACACAATTTTAATTATTAAAAACTTTTAAACTATAAAAACAGAACTATTTCTGAAAGACAGATAAAAACAATAATAATAAAGGCGCTTAACATTTACTGAGCACTTCCTGTGTGCTACGCCCTGTACAGAGAGCTCTGTCTGCATTAACTGAGTACACCCTAAAGGAAGTACAATTATCATCCCCACTTTAGAGACATGGAAACTAAGTCACAGAGAGGTTAAATATTCACCTGAGATTACACAGCCAGCAACTGACAGCCAGGACAGGACCACAAGCAGTGTGCCCCCAGAGGGCACAGCTATAAACAGCATGCTAGACTACTCCCCTGTTACAGTGTGAGATGAACAGCTTCTGTATAATGAAGCTATAGACTCTTGTGTGTGATCTATTATAGCGAATTCCTAGACTATTCTGAGTCCATACCCAGCTTCCCCCAATCACTTGGATCGACGCCGCAGAACACCTCTGGTAAAAACAGACTCACAGGATTAGTAAACAAAGCTTAAAACAAAAAGAAAACCCCAAACCATTAATGGTATTACAAAAATAAAATCAACAAGTTTGATTGAATCAGGGATCCGAAGGTAAAGACCAAGAGTTTACCTAATGCACAAGGGCTGGAATATTCAGGGATTTCTATATAATCTTGTGGCAAATAACCTGTGTCCTTGAGTGACCTTGAGCAAGTTCGCTTTTCTGGGCCTCTATTTACTTCAGTATTAAAACAAAAGAGCAAAAGCAAAGAGAGGTTGGACTTGTTTAGGATCGTATCAAACCTCTGGTGTCCCTTTTAAGCTCTAAAAATGTTATGATCTTTTAAGCTGGCTCAAATCAAATCTCATTCCGATTTCTAGTTTTCTTTCCCACAATTTGCGAAGCTGCCTGGTACCCTCTCCTCTAGGGCAAAATGGCTCCTACTTCCGAGTCTTGCTCGTCCTTTCTTTCCCAATTCCAGTGAGCGTATCTCACTCCCGTACTCCACCCCGACTCCCTACCAAACGGCCTAGTTAAGAGTGGAGGAATGTGATTCACACAGCTAAGTCCCTAAAATAGAGGAAATGTTGTGCTCTTCTTCGTGAACGGAAATCTTACTCCGTGCCGAGAAAGAACTGGGAGCCCGCAGCCCCTTTGGTTCACAGTACCCTCTCCCAACCGAAAGTGTTCTGAGTGCAGCGCTGTGTCTTGTTGACAATGACAGCAGCCGTGCTCAGCAGTACCATATGGGATCCACAATTTAGCTCCATTAATGCTCTTAATTTGAAGACATCAAGCCCTAATTACACACTGGGTACTAAAAAGGCAAAACCCTTCCCTGGTGCCAGCTACTTAGTGGTACTCTGTTGCCTTAACAGCTGGTTGAGGTAGATTCAGGCCAAGTCGGGGCCTGTGAGCTCTCTCGGGTGGAAGAGACCAGCTCCCGGAGCAAAAGCAAATGGGAACAATAGACTCTCCTTGCCCACATCAATCCAGCAGTGTGATCCCCTCTAGTTCCAGTGGGTGCCCCATTTTCATCTAATTCTTGACTTGCCCAGTGGAGTGTGCAAGGGTCGTAGCCATTGCTGAGCCTAAAGAACAGGTTTGCCGGACTCAGGTTCGTCCCCATCTCCACGTGGGGCCACGGTGCTGTCGCTGCACAGGAAGATCAGTGCTCACCTCCTGCTCCATGTTGCCATGCAGCCGTAGGAATTTTAATCGCGTGGAGGCAGATGGCAACTGCCCTGATGCCGGCGCCCCTGAGCTGCTCAGCAGGGTCTGTAGGAAGAGGCTGTAGTGGAACTCCACCAGCTCGCAACTTGAGAAAAAGACAACCATCTTCTGGTCTTTCTCAAACTACATGATACAAAGGGAGGAAAAACCCACATATTTTAAGATTACGTGACGCCAAAATGAGTATTTCTCTAAACTATACAGTCATGCTGACCCCCATTTGGAAATAAAGGTGACTATCTTTGAATTATTTTAAAAAACAGAAACAGTGATACTGCACTCTACAAAGAATGCAGGAGAGGAAAACGACACAACTATCATTTCAAACGGGTTTCCCTTATCTGACAAAAATAAACACACTTCAGAGCACAGCTGGGTGGGAGCTCCATTCCCCTTATTCATCCAGGGCTTGCCACAGCAACACTACCTGGCTGAGACCCTACACATGCAGAAAACCTTCACCCTGAAGCCCTTCCACTTACTATCTTCTCACGTCAGAGTCATCACAGAAGTCTAGTAAATAAATGCACAAATGCCAGGACTCTTGGAGAAACATGAGCACAAGCCCCTATGTCTGCCTCACATCCAGCTGTTCCCACCACCTGTGATGTGCCTACTATGAGTCCCAGGAAAGGTATCGAGGACAGATTTCAAGCTGAACATCATGGCTACCATTGACCTCTGATTCTTTACCATAATCCTAAAACTTGACTGAAAGGATGTACATCAAAGTTTGCATCCGGAATGCAGACATAAGTTGGAAAACCTCTGATTTTTGGTGTCTTAACTCATTGCTACCAATGGCTTAACACAAGAAAGCAGGCCTTTCTTCCCCGGATCAAGTTGGCACTAGCCCACAGTCCCACCTTGCATTTCTGAAGGATGAAGGCCGCTAGGCAGACAAGCCTCAGTTTGCTGGGAACCACAGTCACGTGTTGCTCGAGACTCTCTGGTATTGCAAAGTTGTCCAGCTCGTCGCCAGCTGGTGGAGGACAGACCTCCCGGACCGCTTTGTCCTTTGGGTTCAACTGGTCATGGCTCTTGTCCAGGACGGAAATACTGACTGGATCATGCAAACTGATATCAGCTAGCCGCGTTACACCTTGGATAAAAGTGAGAAGGGCAAAGCAGACAACAAACACACCGTGAAACTGGTCACAAAAGCGTACCCCCTATACACACCCACCCATGAATGTTAGGACTATGTATGTCACCCCATGGGCATCACCAAGTCCCAGCACTGATCTGCCCTAGTGCCAACGTGTGTGTTGCGGGGAGATCTACCAAAACTTCTTCCCACAGCCTAATAGCCAATCTGTACCAACGTTCTATAAACACTCACCTATGGAACAGCATCCAAAAGACAGCGACAGACACTGCGCCCACTCCCACCTCCCAAAAGGGTTCTTTGATCAAGTAAGTTATGGTAAACCTTGGATTTCAAAGGTTTCACAAAAGCTTCTTTGCTCTAAGCAGCCCTCTCAGGGCCTTTATTGTGTTAATGTGCCCTGAGAATATCCAACGGAGGGATGTGGGGCATTTCTCAAACTTTCTTGACCACAGAATCCCTTTTTCATGAATCATCCCTCAAAATTTAGAACATGGGGAACCGTGAGGGGTCACATGCATGGCATCTGGTACATGCACATCACAAGGTGGCCTAGTAAACCAAGGAAACCAGACACGAGAATGTGAAAGCTGCAGTGCTGGTCAATGACTCACTGTGTGGGGTGATTCTGGTAGAGTGATGCAACTTTTCCAAGCCTTCGTGTTCCCACCAATAAAAGAGAGCTAAGAATTTCTATTGCATATGGATGGAAGACAGAGAAGAGCTTCATTGATATATTTTTTAAGTTCAATAGCTCTATAGGAGGAAGAGTGATTACATCAAAAATGCACTCAGATAAGAGGTCATCATCTTCAGTGCAAGGGCCCTGCTCTCTGTGGGTTGCAAGTGCAAAAAAACCTCATGAAACCACCAAGCCAACAGCAGCCAGTCTTTTCTCGTCCTCATCCCTGCCCTTTCTCCCTTTCCCCATGTGCTGGGGAACATATCTGTCTTGGATGACTTGAAGAGCGAAGCTGGGAGTGCTGAACATACAGTTTGAAAAGGCAGTCTTCTAAGGACATCTCCCTCCCTGCCCCTCACCTCCCTGAGGTTGAGAATCACGGCAGCAAACAACCCAGATTAAATCTAGGTCCTTCCTCTTCATTAAGAACAAAGAAGGACCCATCACTTCTTTCCAACTCACCTTCTGTGAGTGTCGCTGATAGTAAGACGTTCTGTCGTTTCTGGCATTCAGCGTTTACAGCATTAAGTATCACTGTGATGTCCCTTTCAAAACCCAAATCCAAGATTCTGTGGTTGTAAAAAAAAAAAAAGAAATTTTCATCTATATGAAGAGCAAATGTGGTCTAACGGGCCACAGAAGTTGCAACAAGGAGAGCAGAAACAGCCCTTCTCTTCTACCTGTCATTATCCTGGGACGAGGCTCACCTGTCTGCTTCATCAAACACCAACCACCGCAGCCGACTAAAATGAATGTTCTTTGTGGATTTTATATGATCCACCAGGCGTCCAGGAGTTGAGATAAGGATATTTATTCCTTTGCGGAGTCTGTTTAAAATTATATATCATAAAAGAAAGTAAATCAAACAGGGCTACGCCAATAGAAAACACAGGAAAAAGGCAAAAGAGACAGACTCATTTCATGTACAGTACAAACGTGCCATAGCCTGAAATCATGACAAAACATAAAAACTGGGTAGAAAGCTGTGCTTGAGTCTTTCCTTGTACTGTGAGATGCAACTGTTATGATCTGAAATTACATTAAAATCATAAAACCTTAACTTTGAAAGGAATCATAACTACATAATCCAACGCTCTTTATCTGATTCACAAATCCTTTCTAGAACCTTCCAAAGAGATTGTAGTCTAGCCTGTTCTTGAAGGTTTCTGTGCTAGGGAATCTAGTATCTGAGCAAGTTATCCCATGCCAGTGTGCTTCAATTGCTAGGACACTTTTTTCTTATGCTAAGCCCTTTACATAACTTCCATACAACGGGACTCAAAGCTTTGTCTCATGGGTTATATACAATAAATCTAATTTCTCATTCCCCAAACAACCATTTTCCTATTAGTCCATAGTAATAAAGGCTTCCAATTTTTAGCACATTTTTTTTTTTCTTTGTAGAGATGGGGTTCTCGCTATGTTGCCTAAGTTGGTCTCAAACTCCTGGACTTAAGTCATCCTCCTGCCTTGGCCTCCCAAAGTGCTGGGATTACAGGCATGAGCCACTGCACCCAGCCTAGCTGGATATACTTTCCAGCTTCCCTTGCAGTTAAGTATAGTCATGCTTCTGTTTTAGCAATGGGATAAAAGGGTAAAGGGAACATGCCAATCACACAAGCACCTTCAGAGGGAGCAGGTATGATTATCTCTGTACCTGCTGGCAAGAAATTAGACGCAATGGTTGGAATGCCTGCAACTATCTAAGACTATGAGGTAACCTTAAAAATGGAATCCTTCCATAGTGGCACAAAAAGACAGAGTTTGGTCCCCAACACTGGAGCACCAGGCCAGCCTTGGACTGGCTGTCAGATTTCTTAAATGTGGAAGTAAAATAAAACTTGTGTATTGCTTGTGCCACTGTTATTTCTTGTTATTCACAGCTGAGTCGAATCCTAACCAATGCTTTGAGGTTTCAGGTTTCATATTTACTCCTCAATTATAGACTACATGCATCATTATTGAGTACTGGTTATTAAGCTGTAATACAATAAAAATGTTTTCAAAAGAATGAAGACAATTTGAGATTTACTTGTTGCAACAATTTTCAACTGACACTCATTATAAATTTTAATAAAGAAAGGAATAAACACACTTGGTCGTAAAAAGCAAGTCCCAAAGCATTATATGAGTTAATGATCTTGTTTTTGTAAAACCAAACAACAAAACCCCAAACTCTCAATGTACACAAAAGCGAGTTGCACCCAGGTGGATGTATACTAAACCAGGGATGCTGTAGGACATTGGGTAGGTGGGAGTTAAGAAGGTGACAGCACTGTTACTAGCAACATCAGAAGGAAACGTGTTTGTAGGTTTAATATTTTAAAAAACAGCACCGTCTAGAGGTGACCGCTCCCCACTGACTCAATCTGTCCCCGTGCACTGGGACTAGGAAGCAGAGCCTGAGACAAAGCTCTCAGCAGGTTTAGAAGGACCCAGCCTTATAGAACAGGAAGGCAGGACAGATTCAAGAAGGAAATAACAACCAACAGACCTCTTCCTACCTGGCCTTTTCTGATTTTCTCTTCTCTCCTCCCATTAACACTCCAGGCACAATCCAGGTGAAAGGCTACAGAAAGACAGCAGACCACAGTCAGTGCAAAGCCCCTTTACTTAAACATCAGACACTGATTCCAAATTCCCTTTCCTTAAGGTATGAGAGAGAACTGGCACTTCTCATTGTATAAGGTGTTATTGTGCAGACACAATTCCTAGGCATTGCTACACCCATGTACACTATCAGTAGTAACTTGAATTATAGGTATATAACTAGCTTCTACCACAGTGAGAGAGAAATGTGAGCTTCTTAAATCATTCAAGTAGCTTCCCTGTCTTTCCCCACAGAGCCTGAATTGAAAACACATTTCAGTAAGTCTACTGCCTTTTTTGGGGTTAAAACCCAAGCAACACCTTTCCCTACTCTCCACCCCTAATAAAAGAAAGAATGGATCAATTCATGATCTAATTTGGTGAGCTGGCTGGCTTTGACTCTGAAACCTTCACTCTCCTTTCTAAACAAACCCTACTTGCAGCTAAGTTGCTTTCCACTGGGTCACCGTCAGGGTATACCTGTGCATTTCTCTATGTGGCTTGCTAGTGACTATGATGAACCAATTATAGGACTTTATCCACCAGGAGTCACTGATAATCCAGCTAAGCTAGAAATGGGTGGGTTTAGAGCAGTAAAAACCTATAAACTACCTAGAGAGAGCAGACATATCCAGGCAAAAGGAGATAATTCTTATCTCTTTGAAAATAAAGAATAGACTGTGGTATACTAAATCCTTCCTCAAAGTCAGGAAGCAAGATAAAATGGAACTCACGGTTTGCCTTACCTTAAGCAGTTTCTGGACAGTGTCAAAGCTTTGTAGAGCCAGCTGTAAAAATTTCAAAAGTTATAGATGATCAACAGGATCCCTTCTTTTTTTTTTTTTTTAAAGACAATGTAATGTGATTAGGATCCAAACTTGGACCTGAAGTTAAGATTCAAGAAGAAAAAAAATCCTATACACGGAATCTAATATACCTTGTTCTTAGACTGGTTCTGCAACCTGTCAGTTTGGGCAAAGAGTTACAGACACCACGTCTATTTGTTGGACATACACAAAAATAGTGTTTTGTGCTCCCTCTGCTGGCTCAAATTCCCAGAGTGCCACACAGAGAAGTTCAAGTCTGTGCTGCACAAAAATGTAAGGGAATGAACCAAAGTAACCTGAATTTGACTCTCCTTAGAAAGAGAAAGAATATGTATGCGAGGTAAGACAGAATAGTGATGCAACAGGGTAGCCTCTGGGAACTTCACTCTAAAGGTGCCATGACTGTATTCTACAACTGTCCCAGGGTATGTGAAGCCCGGGAAATGATGGTCACTCCTCAAGTTTACATCAATAAAACAAAAGCAAACCAACAGCTCCACTGGAGAACAAAGCAAGTGAAAATTAAAGTAGGCTACAACCATTAACAACCTTCAAAAATGCCTCATACAGAATCCCGTTCTTAAAGGATGTATATACAGTTTCCACATATTTAGTAATCATGAAGCATCCTAGAGAAGTAGCAAGTTTGCTGCTGTAAAAATTTTAATAGCTTCTGTGCCTGCTCCTTCATTGGACTGAGCTGAGATAGGGGACTGCAGGCTGTATAAAAGGCTGACTTCAAATCATCTCTGTGATCAATTCTCTGTAAGGAAGTGATCAGCATTTGATATAGAAACCAGATACCCTAATCCGAAGTTGCCACTGTGGGCAAATAAAATAGATTAGATAGAATAGAGTTCCACCAAGAAAGAAAAAAAATATTGAAAAGTTTAACTTTTAGGAACAAGTAACATTTTTGGTAGCAGTAGCTTCTTAAAAAAGTTAAAGGTTCATTTTCAGAGCCAACTGCTTTTGGCTTTGAATTAAGTTGCTTAAAAAAAAAAAGCCTACAAAAATGCAAGGTTTTTTTTTTTAAGCAACTTAATTCAAAACACGATTAAACAGACATATAGTGTCATTGGTTTCTAGACAATAGGAAAATACTTTTCCATGCTTATGATTCTCGGAGACTACTTGAATTTTTCTCCTTGACAAGAACCAGAAGGATGGCTTCCAGGCAAATGGAACTGGTGTGCACTGGCTTGTGCAGTAGGGAGAAAAATGGTAAAACCACTTTTAAATTCAAAGAGATATTAGTGAAAGCATGTGCTTAAAACTTGCCCCAAAAGGGTGCCTGCTTACCTCTCTCGTTGGTACGAGTACCAGGGCATAGGGGCCATCACTGCGCTGTTGACACACAGAAAAGAAATGCCATGAGCAGGATAAATAAAGGCAGACTGCAAATGGACAGGACAGGGGGTAGCCAGTTGTAGAACATCAGAAGCACTCTCGATGAAGAAAGGGACAAAATAAGGTTGCCACTGATGTGGTTTGGCTATGCACCTACCCACATTTCAACTTGCATTGTATCTCCCAGAACTCCCACGTTTTAGGACGGAGGGCAGGGGGGCAGGGCAGGAGGTGGTAATTGAATTATGGGGGTCGGTTATTCTCGTGATATAATGAGTAAGGCTCAAGAGATCTGATGGGTTTATCAGGGGTTTCCGCTTTTGCTTCTTCCTCATTCTATTTTGCTGCTGCCATGTAACAAATGCCTTTCAGCCAGGCGCGGTGGCTCAAGCCTGTAATCCCAGCACTTTGGGAGGCCGAGATGGGCGGATCACGAAGTCAGGAGATCCAGACCATCCTGGCTAACACGGTGAAACCCCGTCTCTACTAAAAAATACAAAAAACTAGCCGGACGAGGTAGCGGGCGCCTGTAGTCCCAGCTACTGGGGAGGCTGAGGCAGGAGAAGGGCGTAAACCCGGGAGGCGGAGCTTGCAGTGAGCTGAGATCGGCCACTGCACTCCAGCCTGGGCGACAGAGCCAGATTCCGTCTCAAAAAAAACAAAGAAACGCCTTTCGTCCTCTGCCATGATTAGGAGACCTCCCCCAGCCATGTGGAACTGTAAGTCAGATTAAACCTCCTTTTCTTCCCAGTCTCAGGTATGTCTGTATCAGCAGTGTAAAAATGGAATAATACACCCAACTAACCCCATTATTCTAGAATACTGTTCTAAAGATCCTGGCCCAAACAATCTGACAAGAGAAAGAAATATGATGTATAAAATTAGAAAATAGGAGACAAAATTATTGTTAGCAGATGATGTTATTTTATCTTAGAAAAAAAAACCATAAGAGAATTAATTAAAAATCTATTACAAACAAGATAATTTTGTCAAGCAGCTGAATGCAAAATTAAAATATAAAATCAATAACCATCCGGGTGCAGTGGCTCACGCCTGCAATCCCAGCACTTTGGGAGGCCAAGGCGGGCGGATCACTTGAGGTCAGGAGTTCGAGACCAGCCTGACCAACATGGTGAAACCCCGTCTCTACTAGAAACACAAAAATAAGCTGGGCATAGTGGTGGGTGCCTGTAAACCCAGCTCTTAAGGAGGCTGAGGCAGAAGAATCACTTGAACCCAGGAGGTGGAGGTTGCAGTGGGCCAAGATCATGCCATAGAACTCCAGCCTGGGCAACAAGTGCAAAACTCAGTCTAAAATAATAATATTAATAATAATAATAATTATTATTATCATTATTCAGTAGCCTTCCAATATAAAAAGTTAATAGCAACAAAAAATACGAAAAGAATAAGCTTAGCAAAAAATACACAAAATCTATATGAAGAAAATTTTAAAACATCTCTGAGGGGCATAAAGTAAATTTTGAATAAACGGAAAGATATACCCTATTTCCAGATAAGAAGATGCAATAGTACATATAAGCTAATTCTCTCTAAATCAGTCCATAAATGTAATGTAATTCTAACAAAAATGCCACAAATACATGTATATATAAAATAACATATATAACCAAACAACCTGATTTGAAAGTTCATATGGAAAAATAAATGTACATAAATAACCAAGACATTTATGAAAAACATATCAGATGTTAAAATAATTTAAAGCTGCAGCAATTACAAATAATGATACTGGCACATGAATAGAGATTATAATAGTAAATAGAGTTGAGAATAGAATCAAATAGATACCAAAATTTAGAAAATAATATAAGGACCATTTTATATCAGCAAGAAAAAGATGGTTTAATTCAAAAGTCCTGTGAGAAAAAAATAAAGTTAGGAAAACAAAGCTGGAATTAAGTTGTCCTTTTAATAGATGACATAAAACTCAGAAACCTTAAAAGAAAACACCAATAAATTTTATTACTTAAAAATTTTAAATTTCAGAATGAAAAATAAAGCCTAAACAAAACCAAGAGTCAAATGATAACCTGGGGGGAAAATATGCCACACCTGAGAGGAATAGCTAATTTCCTTAATTTATAGATTTTTAAAAGCCCTGTAATTCAGTTTTTAAAAAAAGACCAATTTGGTCAGGCACAGTGGCTCACGCCTGTAACCCCAGCACTTTGGGCGGCTGAGGTGGGTGGATCACTTGAGGTCAGGGTAAGTTAGAGACCAGCCTGGCCAACACGGTGAAACCCTGTCTCTACAGAAATACAAAAAAGATTAGCCAGGCGTGGTGGCACATGCCTGTAATCCCAGCTACTCAGGAGGCTGAGACAGGAGAATCTCTTGAACCCAGGAGGCGGAGGTTGCAGTGAGCTGAGATCATGCCATTGCACTCCAGCCTGGGCGAGACAGCAAGACTTCATCTCTAAACAAAACAAAACAAAAAAACCATTCAAATAGAAAAATGAACAAAGTGCCGGATGTTGTGGCTCATGCCTGTAATCCCAGCACTATGTATGGGAGGCCAAGGCGGGCAGATCACTTGAGGTCAGAAGTTCAAGTCCAGCCTGGCCAACATGGTAAAACCCCGTCTCTACTAAAAATACAAATACCTGTAATCCCAGCTACTCGGGAGGCTGAGGCAGGAGAATCTCTTGAACCCTGGAGGTGGAGGTTGCAGTGAGCCAACACTGCATCACTCCACTGCAGCCTGGGTGACAGAGCAAGACTCCGTCTCAAAAAAAAAAAAAAAAGAAGAAGAAGAAACAGAAAGCAGCTGAGAGCACTGGAGGGCATGGGAAAACTGGACCTTCTACACCGCTGCTGGAGGGCACACTGGCATATTCCCTTTCAAGTTTAATGTTGGCATTATCTACTAAAATAAAAATGCAAATTCCACTTACAGAAAGTTCTCCTACAGAGCATATGTGTGCATAAAGAGGTTGTAGAATATTTTACAGACTGTAGAGTATTTAAGTGGCCTTGTTTGTAGCAAAATACTGAATATAATATAAATTCCACCATCCAATAAGAGAATGAGTAATTCACAGTACATACATATATACAATGAAATGCTAGGCAGTCTTCAAAAAGAACAAGGTAGCCCAATATGGTGCTAATTAAGGAGCCCAAAACACATCAAAGGAACCAAAGCAAAGCACAGAACATTCTGCATAACAAAACAACCACTCATTATCAAACCAAGCAAAACAGAAAAAACACTTCACAAAAAAGTGGTAAGAGGAATTACACATACTCATATTTGCTTGATAGGCACAAATTTTCCTGGGAGGATATACAAGAGGCTAATAACCACCATGGCATCTTGAGAAGCAAACTGTGCCACTAGGGCAAAGTGGGAATAGATGACTTTACTTTTCACTATATATATATTTTTGGTACCCTTCAAAATTGTTAAAACATATATGGTACGTTATATCTATAAAGTATTAATAAAAAAATAGAAGAAACCAAAGTAATCCGAAAAAGGCCCCTAAGCCAACGGTGCCTTGCACATCCAAAGTGCTCAAAGACACTGAATGAAGGAAACAAAACAATGTTAGTGCCAAAGCTAAGCACAGAGCTAACAGCAAATTCAATTACAAGTATGGTTTTCGTGTTTTGCATAAGAAACATTTACCCAAAAGAAGAAAAGGATTTGGAATTCAAACCAGAGTCGTCTGTACTCAACATCGACTTTGTGAGACTACACTGAACGCAAGCTAGGAATGGTAAATATGCTAGTACAACAGTAGCAATGTGCCATCGTGTGACGTTAGGAAATTCTGACATTTCAAAAGGTGTTACTACATAGAGAAGAAGAAAGAAAAATCAATTCCTCACAGGGCACAAGTAAGTGAGGGAGGATGGATATGATGCTAAAAAAAAAAAAAAAAAAAAAAAATCAGAGCCAAAATAACTGAAGAGTGTGGACACAGAAAAGCAGTCTGTTCTCATGCCATCACCAAAGTAATTTAAGAATCTGTTGGGTGCCTTAAATTTGCTGTGCCCTCCAGATAAGTTTTTTACAGGTCAAATCATTTTACAATGAACTCCAAGGGACTATATTGAGTCTTACTTGAAATAAGTGAATTAAATTGAGGCTTGGAAAACTGTGTTTCTGCAGAATATTCCAGTCTTTAATAGAATGATCTGTTCGTGATTTTTTAAAATATTGCAGCAAATAAAAAGTGACATGGCTTACTAACGGTTCTGAATATAACCAATCAAATCATTGCCCCTCCAACTAGCCACATGACCACGTTGCTGATGATGGCTAAAGCATGATGTCACCATGCACTGCACGTCAGGTCTCAACACTGCACATACATTAGCTAAACCCTGATCCCAGCGCTTGGAGACAGGCACTGCTATTGTCCCTGTGCCACAGCAAAGACACTAAGGCACACAGGATGAACGATTTGCCTCAAGTTACCCTCAGACCCAGAACTGAGCACAGCTGCCCACCACACCATTCCCCTGATGTGTATGTCATCAAATCTCTCTCATCCTCCAGTCACGGATCTATGAAATGAGAGTTAGCCTAGAACTGTATAAGCCATTCCAGCTTAAAGAGTCCAAACTCTTCTACTGGTATAAAGAAAAACCTCTCCACTGGCAAGATGTTCTCCTGGAGTCCGTAAGTGGATGAGACTTTACTACATGATTGTAGTAATTTACATTTATTTTTCTCTATGTGCCAGGGACAATGTTAAGCACTTTACACAAATTCTCTCGCTGTAAACCACTTAATATGGGGGGGAAAAAATCAGTTACCTTTAGGAAGTAAAATTCCTCACTCAGAGAAAATCTATGTTAACAGTTTGCTAAGAATTATTCCAGCCTTTTTATGCATACATATACAACTATTACTTATGAAACTCGGGTCACACTATACATACCATTTTGTAACTTGCCCTTTTTCAAGTAACAAAGTAAAAACATTTGTTCAAGTTCACAAACGGTAATTGAAAAAGTATCATTTTTTTTAATGGCTATACTTGGTTCCATCTCTGGATGATTTTGTAGGGTTTCTTTAACTGATTTTTAAAAATTCCGAACCTATTCATTTTGAATGAATTCAGGCTTACAATTTCAGACTTACAAAAAATTTGCATAAAAAAGCAAGGAATTTCCACATGCCTTTCTCTCAGCTTCTCCGTATGTATTATCAATTATCAAAACCATAGTATAATTATCAAAACTGGGAAATTAACACTGATTCAATGCTATTGACTAATCTACAGAACTTATTCAAATTTCATCAATTGACCTGTTAATGTCCTATTTCCAGACTAGGATCCAATCCAGGACTACATGTTGTATTTTGTTGTCATGTCCCCTTTAATCTGGGTAGTTCTTTAGCATTTGTCTTTTATAACCTTAACGCTTTCTGAAAACACTGGCTAGTTATTTTGTAGAGTGTCCCTTGATTTGGATTTGTACGGCATTTCCTCATGACCAAATTCAGGTTATGCGTTTTTGGCAAGAAGGGATGTATCCTCCCCAGTGCAGGGTATCAGGGGGCACACGAGGTCAGAACATCTCATTACTGGTGATGCACACTGATCATTTGGTTAAGGTAGTGACAGCCAGGCTTCCTGACTGGAAAGTTACTGCTTTTCCCTTTGTAATTAAAAAGTATCTTGTGGAGGGATATTTTGAGACTATGTAAATATCCACTCCCTGCCCCAGCCCCCACAACACTTTCACCTACTCATTTTAGCATCTATGATAACTCATGCCTGAAACAATATTACTGTGGCATTTGCCAAATGGTGACTTTCTATTTCTATCATGTCTATATTTATTAGAATTCTACATAAAGAAGACTTCTACCTTCTCCCTCATTTATGTATTCAATAATTTATTTATATCAGTTTGAACTCATGGATATTCTGTTTTAGTTTACAGACCGTAATGCAACACTATTATTATTTGTCACTCAAGTATCAGGCAGGCTACATATACTGCTAATTCTGCATATCCAAACTGAGAAAAACAGTCATCGATTAGCTTTTGCCTGTTTTTTTGCACTCACTTCACTTTCTATTTCTGGTCTTACCACTGCCTCTCAGCTGAGAAAACGAGGGCTGTACCTGTAGGATCCTGGGCTGGCATCTGAGATGAAGCCTCCGCCCATGGATCACAGCAGTTAACTGGCCTCCTAGGGGCTCAACCCAGGCACTAAATTAACACGTTTCACAACCAAAGATAAATTCCACGTAATCTCAAAAAATGAGGCAGCCCAATTTGTCCTCATATTAATATTTCAGCTAAATGGGTGCTTATTTTCATATTTACTGTTCATAAGAAACCACTGTTTTAAATATGAAGTTCAGCCTTCTTGGTCAAAAGTAAACACCACATGGGAACTTAGAAGGTTAAAATTGAATGTTTTATATACAACACAGACTCGAGCATCAAGGGACAGCTGCAAAACCAAATCCCCGTTATTGAGCCATCATTCTGTAAAAGGTCCCATGTTAGGCACCGTGGAAGACACGGATGCATGGTCCCCATACAGCACAGGAGCCAGTAATTAACCTTCGCTGTAAGTCTTCACACAGAGTAAGTCTGTGTGAAGCTTGGTCTCTGCAGCCAAACAGAACTGAGGTAGAAATCTAGTTCCACCATTACTTGTTGCATGGCCTTGGTTAACTTTCCTAAGCCTGTTGTTCTTTGTAAAATATGGATAACAGTAATACCTAAACACGGTGGGGGAGAGAGCAGTTAAAGATTCAAGAAGGGAACACATGCAAAGCATCATGCCTGGCACACAGCGAGCATTTTACAAAGTTTCCCTGTTACACTCACTATGACAATTGTGAAGTGTATTTATTCTACTCTAGGAACAGTCTTTAGATACAACACATTTATGTAATAAATAAATTAAAAGGAGGTGAAAAAAATACTCAGTGTAAACAGATTCTTTTAGTCCTAATATTTCTGTTAGGGCTCAGTTTGCTGGTTGCTTATGCACTATAAGCAATGACAGAAAAACACATTTGATACACACCTGTATTTTTGACTTCATTGCTTGAAGGGACTGGACCACAGGGATGCAATAGGCAAGAGTTTTACCTTTCAAAAAAAGCAGCAGCAGTTAAAATTACACATCCTACAGATGTAAGAAAAGCAAAGGATGTAAAGGGAACAGGCTCTGCTATCTTCCAGTGGTACTAAATTCTGGGGAAAAGGAAACTGCCCATTATACATCCAAGAGAAGTGAAAAGGGGCTTCCCTGTCTGCCACAAATCCCAATTTTGCTTTGTAAAATGAGTACTTCTAAAAAACTAGAAGCTTCAGTTCCTTTATTCATCTGACAAGAGATAACGATATGTCTCCCAAATTACACAGAAGCTCAACTTGATGGCTGTCTGCAGGAGCCAGAAAATTCCTCCTTTGAAGTCCTCCCTACCCGCTCAGATGAGCTTCAGTGGTCAATTACATCTCCTCTACAGTGTTGACGTGATTGGGAACCAGTCTGTACTCTAGAGCTCATCTCTAATGACGGAGAAACCAACAGATGGCAAAAACTTTGGGTATCCAGCCTTCTGAATGGTGGCCGAGCTGATGGGAGTAAAGGATAGCTGAATGCCCACTGAGAGCACACAGGGTCAAAACAGCAAGTCTAGACTGACCTGGAACATGGCAGAAACAGTGTTCTGTCCTCGAGCACAACTGGCATCTGATCAGTGTATGCTCAGGCCAGAAATCACTCTGTGTTTAACACCAGAAGGAAACATTCATTCTCCACTAGACTGAGAATGGGCAACTGTGGCCACAGAGTGCGGGACTTGGTAAAGCCCCGAAGTAGGCTCTGAGGAAATTATAGCTGAACCTGACTACCTCCTAATCATTCCTCATCGTGGCACCATCAACTGTCCCCTTCCTTTCATTATGTGAACACATTCGGGGTTCTAATCAAAAGCAAGCATGGCCTCCCTCCCACAAACGAAACAAAATTGCCACCACCACCAACCCACACACCTCATGGCAAAACCTACTGCATGACCATGCGTCTGAGCAAAGGAAAAAGGGCAGAGATGAAATGAGACTAACCTGAGCCCGTCTGGGATCTCACGAGAGCATCTCTGCCTTCCAGCAACACAGGAATACTTTGCTTCTGAACGCTGGGCCACCCGAAAAAAAAGAACACGCTTTATCTATATCATCCAGTTAAAGGCAGAGACACAAGATACATAAAAGGCAACTGCCCACACTTGGATTCATCTAGCAACTGCCACCTTAGAAGCTATCAAAGCATTCAAATAAAGGTGTGAAGAAACTTTTGATGATTATAAAGATCAAACCCTAGTTACATTTCTGGAACTTAGCCTGAAAATGGTGAGGCAAACCAGAGACTGGCCATTCTATTAACCTAATTCTTCTAAAAATGGAACAGGCAGCCGCGTGCGGTGGCTCACGCCTGTGGATCCCTGCACTTTGAGAGGCCGAGGTGGGTGGATCACCTGTGGTCAGGAGTTTGACTAGCCTGGCCAACATGATGAAACCGCATCTCTACTAAAAATACAAAAAATTAGCTGGGAGTGGTGGCATGTGCTTGTAATCCCAGCTACTCAGGAGGCTGAGGCAGGAGAATTGCTTGAACCTGGGAGGCAGAGGTTGTAGTTAGCCCAGATCGCGCCACTGCACTCCAGCCTGGGCAACAAGAGTAAAACTCCGTCTCAAAAAAACAAAAAACAAAAAAAGGAACAGGCATGACAACAAATCAGAGTTACCACAAAGCGTATCACACACTCTCCTGCCTTCAGTAACAGGAATATGACACACAATGAAACATAATGGAAAGGTTTCCATGCAGGATAGCAGGAGGAAGCTCGCTAACTATTCAGAGAGCCAGCAGCTGCTATCCATTCTCCAGGAGAAGGTTATGGACATGCCGAAATGTGTGTCTACACATGTATTTTAAAACAAGAAACAGAAGAGACACAAAAATCACTTAAATCGGGTTGATGAAATAAACAAAAAACTTGTCGGGAGGTCCCTTAATTTAGTCTTTAATATTCTTACTAATTTTTACTAGTAAAAGTAAAAAATCATTATGAGAATGCACAGAAGCACAAATACTCAAAACAAGGAAGCTCATCCCCTCGCACCTATTTCACTTCTTTATTTTCCAGGAGTCATTCCCTGTAACAAACATTGAAAACATTTTTTCAGTATCCCACTCTCTCCAACTGAACATTTACTCTTGCCTTTTTGGTTGACTCTAATTCTTACTACTAAGAAACGGCATGGTCACATTCTCTATTTTGGCCAAATTCTTTTCAGGGAAGCACAGAAACCAGCGGCGCTCACGCAGCCCACCTTCTGGATGAGACGTCTCTCGCAGTTTAGAGCCAAGGGCAGAACTAGATGGAAAGCCAGTCTTTCCATTTAACAGGTGGAGAGAATGAGTAGCTAAGTGAGATGACAACCCTTTATGGTCGATAACCTGGCACTGTTTTCTAACGCCAAGCCACAAATTTGCTCTGCCTTGCACAGACAGGTTTCATCTGGTTATACCCAAGTAACGCCTAAGAAATCAAGAGGAGCCTGAAGTTCTTACCTGGTCATACTAGACATTTTTAAGACCGTATTTATTGTGGAAATCTAAAAGAAAAGATGAAAAAGCTGTAATTAATATTTTGATACAAAATATTTAATGGAAGTTACACAAAAAAGGAGAAACTATTGAGAGGACATTGACTACTAAGATCAAATGAAGTTCTTCCACCCAGGTGGTGCTCTCTACTCGGGGTGATTCTGTCACCTGCCCTAAGTCACTGGGGACACAAAGGGCAAAGTTTGGAAAAATTTTTGCTTGCTATACCAAGGGGAGGGGGGCACTGCTGGCATCTAGTGGGTAGAGGCCTGGGATGCTGCTGAACATCCTACAATGCACAGGAAGTCCCCAAAACTAAGACTGACCTAGTCCAAAATGTCCACAGCACCAAGGCTGAGAAACCCTGTTCTACCCTGCAGGTGAGAAAACAAGCTTAGGTAACCCACCCTACAGAAGGGGTAGGTAAGCTGTAACCGTAAGTGCAGAGGAAACCAAGCCTGCCTAAAAGTTAATATATTTTTTTCTTTTTACTCATGAGTCTGGAGAACTTTTTTTCCTTTAAAGTGTCCGTTTGTTTGTAGAACACACACTAAAATACTCTTCTTCCCTCACTTCTCTAAAACTGTGGATGTCCTTTAACAGCAAGATGCCAGCACAGTTCCCTCTCCTATGGTCACTGTGACATCTGCCACCACAAATGGCTTCACCACTACAGCTATCCAGTAAATAGGGAGCTGTTTGAAGTTTACCAAGTGATGTCCTGACCCTAAATCACGTTAGTCGAGGAAAGTCTTCAGTACTTAAAAAACCATACACAAAAACACACAAAACACAGGGGATGGGGGAACGTGGGGGCCAGAAAACAGTGAACAGTAACCTAAGCACCCTTGAACTGTCCTAGAAGAGTATCATATCAATCTGAGTTCATTCAGGTAACTTAGAGCAGAAACAAACACTCTCCGATTTCTCTTCCTAGAACTGCCGTTGCACAGACCTTCTGAACGGACAAATGCACCAAAAACAACTGACCCAGAAAACACTGAGAGGTACTTACTAAATGTGGGTGGAGGCCCAGCTCATGAAAAGCAGCTGAAGTAAACACTTTTTCTTGCACCTGCTTTACCACAGGTCTGCAAATGATGAACAAAAACCCAGGCATCAGTGCCAATATTAACAAAGAAGAGGCAGAACACGTTCTTTTTTCTTCCTGAAGGGCATCTGCCGCTGGACATACCTGTGGAGTTCCGGAATGTCAGGGTTGTTTTTAAACAGTGATGAAGTCTTAATGCATGGTCTCTCCTCCTGGTTTCTATCACTTGGGCCAACCGATTGCTTCTTTGGAGTAAACGTTTTTTGTGTGTTCCCCTTAAAAGCCCTCTGAGTTTCTTTAACACTAGTTTTCTTGGCTGGCAGAAATGAAGTTTCGTTCCTCCGTTTCGCTGGGGGAGCCTCACTGGACGCTTGGTGTTTTCTTTTCGTAGCCTTTGCTTGCTGCGTTGTTCCCAGAAGGAAAGATCAACAAGAGATGCATTAGTCCATGAAGACAGAGCTCGGAGTGAAGCCTGACTGCCCACAGAATTGCATCTCTCCCTGCAGAGATCATTATGCCCCATATGTCAAGCAACAGTTTAGGGTTTGCAATCAGACTCTTTGACTCAGCTTCTTCCAAAAGGTAAAGAAAACAAAAAAGAAAAAAGTCTCAGCTCACTCATCTACCAGACCTCACCATTCATCTTAACTGTTAAATCAATCAAGATAAGGTAAGGATGAAACAGCAGCATTTTTCCAGTTGAATGTTAACTAATGGAGTCCACTTTAAGGGAAGCAAGAATTCACCTTGTGCAGGGTGTGTCAATCCATATTCCTAGGAACCCAGTCACCCAAGGAGAAAAGAGGGGCAGGGGGAAAATGAATCTTTTCTCTCCACTAACAAAGCACACTGGAGATCGCACAGGAGAGAGGGGCGAGGGGGAACGCGCATCCCAGCCCGTGCCCAGGAAGCGGAAACCTTCATTACCATTCTACCCTAGCGCCTGGATCTCTGTCATTCTCTCCTCTCAAGCTGCTCCTCCAGATTCAGATGGCCTGGAGAAAATTTCTACGCCCTGTTCCCATTCCAAATGAGAATGCTGCTCCATCCATCACCTCTACCACAATGACTTCCTACCTCCCTTGCCTTTTGAGTCTCTGAGTCCCCGAGTCCCTGCCTGAGTCCCTGCCTGATTGCCGATTACAGGCTACACAACCCCAGGGATCTCTTGCCTGTTGCCTCTTATTTCCATTATACGAATGTGGTTCAATGCATGATGTCCAAACTTCCCGTAGGAGAAGAAACATCCAATTCCTCTATTTTATTTGGCCTTCTTCTCTGATTTACAAATGAATATAAAAGCATCCCTTGAGTAGCCAGTGCTTGTTATTCTGGAGTTTGGGGTTCTCTCAGAATACGTTATTTTCCTCTTCGCTTGAAATAATGACTTGGTTTTACCTGTCGGCTTTCTTTAGCCATGACCGTCAGCTTCGGACTAACCTACCAATAACAACAGTTCTTTGTTCCAGAAGGATTCCTTTACTTAAGTAATTAAATAAATACAACTTCAAATATCTAATATTAATAAAGTAAAAACAGACATATTCCATCTTACAAATTTATTTTTTTACAAAGTCTCAAGTTCATGAATTTTCAGATTAAAGAAAGAGATGAAATCAAGTTTCAGGTTTGTTGAATCATCTGCAAGACAGCATGAAATGTGCAGACTTCACCTGATTTACAGACCCAGGACTCCTGGAGTACAAAAACTCTTAAAGGCCACTCCCGCCATGCATGGAATTCCTGACAGTCCCTGGCACATGGACTGGCAACCTCTCCCCGCACACCTCCTGCAGCCCACGAGGCAGCCTATTCTGTTCATGACCAATTCTAGGAATCAGGAAGCTGTCTCTGACATTTATGCAAGATCTGCACCCTTGAACATCTACCTAATACTTTCTGCAGCAACACAGAACAAGCTTACTTCCTCTTAACACATAACATTCCTTCGTATATCACATAACTCTCTTTTCTTTCTTCTTTGGACTCAATATTTCAAGCAGGACACAACTTTAGATCCTTTATCGTCTTGGTCACCCTTTGTTCCTATGTCAACATCTCTCTAAAAGCAAGTACTGAGAGTTAAACACAATAGGTTTTCCATTGCTCTTAGGCTAAACTAAAAAGTCTGTAATACTGCCAGGTGCCATAGCTCATGCCTGTAATCCCAGTACTTTGTGAGGCTGAGGTGAGCTGATTGCTTGAAGCCAGGAGTTCGAGACCAGCCTGGGCAACATGCTGAAACCCTGTCTCTACAAAAAAATACAAAAATTAGCTAGTGCATGTCTGTAGTCCCAGCTACCTGGGAGGCTAAGTTGGGGGGATCACCTGATCCCGGGAGGTCAAGGCTGGATTGAGCCATGATGATGCCATGATGCCACTGCTCTCCAGCCTGAGTGACAAGAGTAAGACCCTGGCTCAAAAAAAAAAAAAAAGGCCTGTAACATGATCAATAAAGCCCTCTAGAATCTGACCTCTGGCCACCTCACCAGCTTCAGCTTTACTCTCTGTCACTCCGGTCTTCCTTCAATTCCTAGAATGTGCTGTGCTCCTTCCTCCTCCCCCTCCTCCTCCCCCTCCTCCTCTGCACATGCTACTCCCACACCCAGGACTCCACTCTGCCCTCTGGCTGGCCACCCCGTACTCATTCTTCAGATGTAGGCCCTCAGAAGGGCCTTTCCTGACCTCTCTTCACCTAGTCAAGTCAAGGTACCCTGTTCTTGGCTCTCCTGGCACCCTTATTCTCCTCCACGGCATTCAGCAAAATAATAAGCATAGCATGGAACTCATTGTTTTATGTCTGTCTTTCCCATAGACTGTAAGCTCCACAAGAAAGGGACCAGTCTATCCTACATAGCACTGTATCCCCTGTACAGGCCCCTGTCTGGCAGAGTAAGCACTCAACAAATACTTGTAAGATGAATGAATAACACATAATGGAATTATCCCTTTCCACGAGCTGGATAAGATTCTACTTGTTAGCTTTTCTCCCCCAGCATCCAAAACACATTCATTCAGCAGTTGTCAAAAAGCTTGGTTATGAAGATACAAAGTAGAAAGATTCGCTAAGCCCTTGAGGAAGTCATATAGCAGCAGAGTACAAAGGCATAAAGAGTATAAAGACAAAAGTATAAAGGCATAAATCCAATCTCTACACTGGTGCTACAGACGAGATACATACAAAAGGCCATGAGAGCACCAAGGAAAGCTGGACTAACATGGCCTGCGGCAAAGGAGAGGGAGGCAAGAAAACCAAGAATGCTTTGTGAGGTGGCGTCTGAGCAGAGAGGGAGCAAGGACATAGCTGGATCTACTAAAAATTAGTTGTGCAACATGAAGCAAGTCACTTCCGAGTCTCCGCTGCCTCACCTGTAAAATGAGGGGATTTTGGCAGATGACCTCTAGGACCCGTCCAGCCCTGAGAGTCTGAGATGCCATGCCTTTCATATTAATAAACATACTGACTAGTTACTGTATGCCAAGGAGTATGCTAAGTACTCACATGTATTCTCTCATTTGTCAACACAGGTACTGTTACCATCTCATTTTAAGATGCGAACATGGAGGCAGAGATGTGAGGTAATTTGTCCCAGAATCACTGAAGGAACCAGGCTTTCCCCTGGCATCATGATTCTACATTCTAGCGTCCTCACGACAATACTATAATCAAGGTCTTTTATTAACTATATCCTCTTTGCTTTAGAAAACATCATGTGTAGTGATTCCTATTTTGAGTTGTTCTCTAGAACAGGACATACACCGAAACGGCAACAAGCACTGAGTATGGCAATTATGGGTGGGTTTATAAAAATCTTTTTTCCTAATTTTCTGTAATAAATTTGTATTAATAATCAGTCTTTTTTTTGAGATGGAGTCTCACTCTGTCACCCCAGCTGGAGTGCAGTGATCTCTGCTCATTACAACCTCCCCTGGCTCCCAGGTTCAAGGGATTCTCGTGCCTCAGCCTCCCGAGTGGCTGGGATCACAGGTGCCCATCACCACACCCGGCTAATTTTTTTTTCTGTATTTTTAGTAGAGAGGGGGTTTCACCATATTGGCCAGGCTGGTCTCCAACTCCTGACTTCAAGTGATCTGCCTGCCTCGGCCTCCCAAAGTGCTGGGATTACAGGTGTGAGCCACCTTGCCCAGCCCAGAAAGTATTTTTAGAGAGAAAATTTCCACATAGTGTTAGATATAGCATAATTTAAGCTGTCAGTCTTTCTAAATCCAGTATATTAGCTACCCATCTCAAGCGGTGGCTCACGCCTGTAATCCCAGCACTTTGGGAGACCGAGGTGGGTGGATCACTGGAGACGAAGAGTTTGAGACCAGACTGGGCAACATAGTGAGGCCCCATCTCTACTAAAAATATCAAAAAATTAGCCAGGCATGGTGGTGGGTACCTGTAACCCCAGCTACTCAGGAGGCTGAGGCAGGAGAAGTGCTTGAACCTGGGAGGCAGAGGTTGGAGTGAGCCGAGATTGCACCACTGCACTCCAGCCTGGGCGACAGAGACTCCATCTCAAAAAAAAAAAAAAATGTAGATTTAGACAAGGCCACTGCAGGCACCTGTCATCACCGCATTAATTAATCCCCTTTTGATAATCATAAAACTAGGTACCCTACACTTACTTACTCAATGCTTCTTATGTGTTAGTTACCAGGCTCTGCACAGGACACAAGCACCCCACTGACCTCCTGATGTAGCAATCTATTATCCAAAATGGAGCCAAAACTACTTTATATTGTTGGCATTTATTAAGAGCCTCTATGGGCCAGACAACGTATAGTCTTTCTGTATGTTATCTCAATGAATCCTTACAATAGTCTTCTATGAAGTAGAAATTATTGTTCTCATTTTATAGATAGGAAAAGTGAGAATCAGAAAGATTAAGTAACTTGCTCCAAAGTCACAGAGCTAGCGTGCAGCCTATTCCAAATCCCACGCTCCCAGTGGCTCTTCTATCCTTCTCCCCAGCTCCTTCCCGATGCAGCTACACTTGGCTAGCTGGACTCCTTACTGCCAAGCATCTAAATCCTAAAGTTTGATGATCACTTTATGATTTTACATCAGCCTTTCTGTCCTGTGGTCCTCTTTTCCAGGAGACAAATCAACCATCCTAGAAACCAGTTTTCAGTTCTTGCTTAAGTTAATTTTAGGGCATCTTTCCCCTCTCTAGCAATCGGATTATATCAATGAAACCGATTTTCCTATCCCCCTCCGTTGCACGTAGATGAAAATCTGTCCCATTTTTGAAAGCTCTTCAAAGAAAACTCCTAGTTGCCAGTCCACACTCCTGCAACAAACGAACCTTCCTCATGGTGACGAAAAGAGTTAAACTCTAAAATATTTGAAGAGACTTATTCTGAGCCAAGCATGAGTGACCATGGCCTGTGACCCAGCCCTCTGGAGGTCCTGAGAACATGTGCCCAAGGTGGTCGCGGTGCGGCCTGGTTTTACACATTTTAGAAAGGCATCAGACATCAATCAAATACATTTCAGAAATACACTGGTTTTGTCCAGAAAGGTGGGACAACTCAAAGCGGGGGCTTCCAAGGTATAGGTAAATTTAAACATTTTCTGGTTGACAATTGGTTGAGTTTGTCTAAACACCTGGGATGGATACAAAGAAAATGCTCAGGTGAAGATAAGATTGTGGAGACCAAGGTTCTTTTGAAGTCTTTAGTGGCTGCCCTTAGAGACAACAGACGACAACTGTTCCCTATTCAGATCTTTCAAAGGTGGTAGACTCTTAATCTCTTTACGATTGGGAGGGCCTGGAAGAAAAAGATCTAGCTACGTTAATAGAGATTCTTTACAGATGCAAATTTCCGCCCCCTACCCCGGCCACAAAGAACAGCTTTGCTGGGCCATTTCAAAATATGGCAAAGAAACGCGTTTTCGGGTAATATTTTAACTTTCTTCTTTGTCACATAATATTAGGCCAGAGCCAGATTGGAAAGTAAGTCACGATATATAGGGTTAAATGAAAGCCATCTGATGAGAATTTATGGTTTGTAGCGCATGACTCTTCCCAAACAGGAATGTGGGAAGATTAAAAAAAAACACAAAAAAACAAAAAAACAGAGCTTAGTCCGCACTCAGTCGAGGAAACTGGCTTAGAGAAGTTAAGCCTTGGCCTGGGACTTGCGCCGGAGCGTCAGGTCCTACCTTCCACGGGAAACAGCCTCTAATTCTTTCCTCTACTTTTCCAGGCGCAGGAGCCAGCTCCCGCCCCTCCACACCTCTCCACTCCCCCCTTCCAGGCGCATCCCCGCGGGTGGTGTTCCGGTTAGAGACACGTGTTTCGGCGCAACTTGTCCCGAAGCTGCCCCGTGTCTGACTTTCTCCAGCTGAACTCCGTAAATGACTCGAAACCCGACTCCGAGGCACGGCTGCAGCTCGCGGCGCGCCAAGAGCCGGGCCGCAGATGGGGACGGAGCTGAAGCCAGGTCAGAACTCACTCGACTCGCCTGGGCTGAGGGACGTCTGGAGAACGTCCTGGGGTTGTCCGAGAGCGAACTGTCGGCAGCTGCCATGGCCTGCGTGGGTGACGCGTGGTGCAGCGGCGAGCCGGGTGCGCAGACCTGCTGGGCCCAGGACCCCACGTGGGACGCGCGAGGACCCTGCGCCACCGCCCCTTCCGGGTCCGGAACGGCTCCAGCTGTACGCACCCGCCCCGAGAGGAGCCGGGGACGGCGGCACCGGGCGGATCGGGGCGAGCCGGGGGCGCGTGCCCCCGCCGGGTGGCAGCCCCGCTCTGCGTCCCTCGCGGCCTGGCAAAATCACATTCGGCCGAGAGTTCACGCTGGGGGAGCTCTCTGAATGCCTCTGAGAAACGAGGCCCGGCGCCATCTCACCGACGAGTCTCCCCTTTACTGCTGCGTGCGTTTCCTCGGCACTTTAGGAACTAAAGCCTAATTGTCTGGGTAGCTCCCTAACAGGCTCTGGAGCTCAGTCCCTGGGCAGGGGGAAGGGGGTCCTCCGGGCTCCCAGCTCGCAGTCCTTTTTCTGGACAGGCAGTTCCTCGGCCACCTGGCAGGGCCGCGTTGCCTGGCAACGGCGGGGTCCTTCCTGGCTCTGCGGCGCTCGGGGCCTGAGGGGAGAAAACCGCCGCGGAGGGCGCTGGGGGTGGCGGCGGCGGTCCGGGAGGTGGCGGCGCGACTGAGACGCGGGTTTGGAGCGCCAGGGCGTCCGACCTCTGCACCTGAGAGAAGATGAACACGGCCGACCAGGCCCGGGTGGGGCCCGCGGACGACGGGCCTGCGCCACCCGGAGAGGAGGAGGGAGAGGGGGGCGGCGAGGCGGGCGGGAAGGAGCCAGCAGCGGACGCGGCCCCGGGGCCCAGCGCTGCATTCCGCCTCATGGTGACTCGGCGGGAGCCGGCCGTGAAGCTGCAGTATGCGGTGAGCGGCCTGGAACCGCTGGCTTGGTCCGAGGACCACCGCGTGTCTGTGTCCACGGCCCGCAGCATCGCTGTGCTGGAGCTCATCTGCGACGTGCACAACCCGGGCCAGGACCTGGTTATCCACCGCACCTCGGTGCCCGCCCCTCTCAACAGCTGTCTCCTCAAAGTAAGTCATCCCTCGCCATTCCCAGAGTCTTCCCCTGTCCCCCTCTCGCGGCCGCGTCATCCGTCCCAGGGGAATCCGGTCCCGCACTCGGTGCGGGGATTTCCCTCTTCGCGCCGAGCGCTGGGGATTTATTAAGCAGCCAGGGTTGCCACCGCTTAAAAAAAAAAAAAAAAAAAAGAAAAGACAAGCCCTGCAGCTGTCTGCACCCTGTTTCCCCAGGTCACCCGCCGCCCCAAACACAGGTACACACCCAGGGGGCTCTCCCGGAGTTAAGTCCCGCCAACCCCTCCTTCGCCCCAGCGTCGGGCCGGCACATGGAGCGGGTTACTCGGTGGTGCTTTCTGAGACTCCACCCCCTGTAGATCCAACCCGGGGCCTGCCTCTGTCGTTGCTCCTATTGTTTGGGGCCGAGTTTCCGAGGTTCTTGGCTGGCTTTGTCTACTGTGTGTGCCCTCCTCTCGCGCCACTTTAGCTTGAGAAAAGAAAAACTGGTCCTATCCCTAGTCTTAACTGTTTAAGTGACTTTATTATGAATGGTCCTCGCCTCTCCTTGGGCAAACGGGTAAATACCGGATCTCGGGGTTTGTACTCTAGTTTTTCTTCACTAGCTAAACATCTTTGGGATGTAGAATGAAAATAAAGACTCGAAACAACTGCATATCTTAAACTTCAAGCGCAAGGTCAAGTAGTAAGCCATAGCGTTCCTTTTAGTTGCTTAGAGGTGTAAAAACTTTCCATATATCCTTAATAGAAGCGTACACTTACGTGTGATCTGTCAAAGTGTATATTCATACATTCAATAGATATTTGAATACCACTGTGCTTGGTGCTACCGCATGTTCTGGAAATAAAGCAGTGTGCAAAATAGAGCCCCTGCCCTCATGAAGCTTACATTCTTTGGCAAGTCAAGCACAAATGATAAGGTCCTGTCAGGTAGTGATAAGCATTATAAAGATGTGTATCCACACACAGAGAACATGTTGATGTGTTCGTAAACGCTTATTCTGTACAGCCATTTAAAATATGAGTCATTAGCTATAGGTAGGGTGATGATAGCCCTCATCACTTTGTAGCATATTTAATTCAAGTTTCAAACAGCTTGTTAGATTGTTCGTCAGCTTGTATGACTAAGCTTTCTCTAAGATCTTGAAGAGGATGTGAACACATTTGTTCAAGTGTAAACAAATCAGATAGACAGATGCAACCCTATGAAACTGAGAATTACAAAAGGAGGAAGGCAGAAGAAAGGTGATTTAAAAGGTGTATCTTCTGCTGAAAAGGCACTTAACTGTTTCCAAGGATATTCATACGCACATCAACTCAAGGAAAGTATGTATGTCAGTATGGTAGAGATCGAATACCTTAGCAGAGAGAATGTAAAGAAAGGAGGGAATAGTAAGAGGAGAGACTTTTATGGGGCAGGTCATCTGGTGGTGAATCTACAGCAGTCCCAAAGAAGGTAGCGTTTGGTTTGTAAGAGGAAGGAAGGAAAGGGCATTCCAGGTGGTGGGAATGAGGCATTCATCCCATGTGCATACACGTTTAAGTCATGAACATCATTTACGATTGTTTGTATAATAACGGATCAGTACATGAGCTCAAATAGGTTTTCTAGAGAGTCAGAGAAAGTAAGATGAGGCCAGTTGTGAACTTGGAAGGTTGGTATGAGGAAGTTGGCTTCAATCTAGGAAGCCTTTAAGATGTTGTTAACAGTTTCATTAGCATAGAGTGACCTGCTGTGGTTCAGGAACATTGCTGGATAGAGGCAAGAAGATGATTGCTGGGATCAGTGTAAAATAGAAGTTAAGAGATTGGGCTTTGGCACAAGATAGGCCTATCTGTAAAAGAGGGATAATGAAACCCTGTTTAGGCTTTTTGGAAGATTGAATTAAACATACATAATCACTTGGCCCAATTCTTGGCACACTGTAAATGCTCAAGGTGAAAATATAATGCAGTTATACAGGTATGAAGGAGTAGGAGTCTGGATTAATATTGTGGTTGTGGACTGTCATTTTGCCTCACCTGACATTTAACACAACTGCTACCTAGTAACAGGAAATCCTTATATAGCTGTCTTATAGTTGACAAATGGCTTCGACGAAATTAATTAGTAACATCTTCCCCTTCTGTACTGTGGTGTTTTTTTTTTTTAAGCACATCACATGAACCATCAATCCTTTTGCAGTCTTTTTAGACTGATTGAAGTGAGTGAATTCCGAATTGTCCCTGCAGTTCTACAAGAGCCCTCTGTGGGTTAAAACTCTTGTGTGATGGTAGGAATGTAAAGAAGTCTGTGTCAGCTCTTTGATGACTCCACCCATTGGCAGTCTGTGGATTTAAATCTGCTCGGTGCTGTGCAGCATGCCTTCGGTCTAACCTAAACAGTGGACAGTCTGCAGCACAGATCACAGTTTTAGTGTAGCATTGTTAGAAAACTAGGTACTAAACACCTTTGAAGCTTTTGCTCTATGATTCTGTTATTTAGATTATGAATTTGCAGGAAAATCTGCAGTTATGTAATAGTTCAGACATTAATTATCAGCTGTTTTATAAGATTGTATGGTAGAAAGGTGAACAGTATAAATCTGAAAAGCCATGAAATAGTGATTTAAGAATGTCAGAATTGTTTTTCCCATTGGACTATTGATTTAGTGACTCATCTAGTGAGTCATTTGTGTATAGTTCCAAATTCTGATAATATATGTGTACCGAATTGTATTGCGCATCAATTGTTAGGAGCCTTAGAAAGTATTAACTTCATCTGCTACATTAAGTTAAATAACTGTTCCCTGGCTTTGAACTCTATTACCTGTCCTCAAGAAGCTTACTGTCTAAAAGCTTCAAGTGAATTTTTGTCAGGTGCTTACAAAATGCCTAACAGTTAGTATTAAAAGTATTTGCCATTAGAAGTAATGGTGAAAACTGCAATTACTTTTGAATAGTATTAGTGATCAACTGGAAACTGGATGTTGTACAATTAAATGATTGGCTGTGGGCAGGCCCCTGGGAGCTGGACTTTTAAGTATACTCCTTGAGCATCTGAATACTTGATTTGTTAACAGTTTCGTGATAGGGAGAGTTGGAGAGGGGTGCAGTAGTCTCATTGAAACTAATATGTCAGAAATTGCTACACAAAACCCTAAGACTTTTTCCTACCGGTCAAGATCTGTGCTGCTCTCCATCCTGTCAAGAATTCTTCCCACGATGAGTAGGACCAAGGGTTGCTTGAGCTTCCTTTATTTCATCCTGTGCCGCTTGCTTTGGGTTACCAATCCTGTGAGTTTACTTCTACAGTAGCTTTTATTTGTAGCAAATTTAACCTGTTCTAAGGAGTATTGCTTAGTTCACAGTATTAAAGGATTTGATGAACAATTTTGTATCTACTGTTCATTTGGTACACAACTTTATGTCTACCTTGCATTTTTGCATACTTTTGTTAGCATTAAAAATCTTATTAACATTTACTTGAGGCTGAGTGCTGTGGCTCACGCCTGTAATCCCAACACTTTGGAAGGCTGCGGCAGGAGGATCGCTTGAGCCCAGGAGTTAAAGACCAGCCTGGGCAATACAGGGACACCGCGTCTCTACAAAAAAATATAAAAATTAGCCAGGCATGATGGTGTGCACCTGTGGTCCTAGCTACTGAGGAGGCTGAGGTGAAAGGATTGCTTGACCCCAGGAGGTTGAGGCTGCAGTGAGCTGTAGTCACACCAGTGCACTCCAGCCTGGGTGACAGAGAGACTCTCAAAAGGTTTTCTTTTTTAACTTAATTCTCAGAGTATATTAACAATTATCATAGGTAACTTTATTGAGCACTTAATATATGCTTTGAAATATTGACTTATTTAGCCTTTCTAACTTTATGGGTCATGTATTAGTCTCATTTATAAATGAGGAAATTAAGGTCAGAAGGTTTAAGCAATTTGCGCACACAGCTGGTGTGTAACAGAGCCAGTATTTGAACCCAGGTAGTCTGGCATCATAGCACAGATTTTCAGTTATTATGCTGTGCTTCATTATGTCATCTCACAAATTTTATCTACCTGTAGAAAGCACCGGGCTTTGATTAGCATTATTTTATTTCCAAGCCAGCCACCTAAACCTCATTTAATTGGCATTTTCAGTCTGTGATTCTCCAGCAAGTTTCATAGTGTATCCAAGAGACTACTTTAAAATGCCTTCCTAAAATCAAGATACACTGCCTGAAACACCATTCCCAAAGTATTCTACATACTTTGGGATAATAAATGGTGAAGGGTAATAACTGTCTTCCCTCCAAAGGCTCTTATTGTTTAAAAAGGAAAAAAAGTTTGGCTTCTTGTGGCTCAGTAGGTCTTTATAGTAGTTCCCTGGCCAAGGCATTTAGTGTCCTCCTGTCACTTCTCAAGGGAGAATGTCATATAATATATAGTATTTCCAAAGCTTGTTTGGCCA